TCAAGCGTCTGGAGTATTCAAATTCTATATGTTGCAATTCTTCTTCTCCGATTCATTCATGTGTTTTCCCTTACAACTGTTTCACAACTCACATGCATAACCGTTTGATTTTATAAAAGAATATTTATGCGGTGCAAACCTTAATACTATTATGGTTTATATTTTCATCTTTAGACTGTAACAAAAATTTTAAAAAGTTAAATTCAAGATCATTTTTCCTGCAACTTTTTTTAACACATGAATGATAGTTTACATGTATAACACCTAAATTTTCAACATACATTTTGGACTCATAAATTATTGGATTTGCAAGGTTGTCATCCTCGTACATGTATGCTACGTTTCACACATCTATGATCTGTAAATTTCATCATTGTACCTCTATCACATCAAAATATATTATTAAAATACTTCTGCATATTAGATATACACAGAAACATAATTGTACAGCTTCTTCATTCGTTTGATTGTCTTCACATGTTTCTTGATGTTTGTTACAACCGGCTTATGTGATTTTTTCCCTTCCTCAGCCAATATGATTTGCGTCAAGATTCTGCATGCCTACCTTATAGTCATGTTACATGCATGTTATATAATCGCTACAGAGCTAAGGCTGTAGCGTAGTTGTCACTCAATAACTTGTACCGTCTGGGTATTTTTCATTTTATTCAATACATTCAACCGTTATTCCTATTCCTACTTGTTAACTTTGGAATTTAAGATATTACTCTTGACGGAGTAATATTTTTAATTTTTTGTGATACTTTTATGTATGTATATGTATGTATGTGTATATATATACATATATATATATGGATAAATGCGACTATCTTATAATTATGCTCATCAATTCACTTAAAATCTACTTTAACTAATATTTTATCTTGTGACAAGAAACTAAAAAATTTTTATCAAGTCCATTTGATAAAAAAATATCATGCAGATTTCATCATGTTTGAAAAATATGATAATTTCTTATAATATAAAATTCCATCATTTATCGATACATTACGAGTTTAAAAAAAAAACTTCATCTCTTGTATCCATTTCAAGGATGTTCACTTGAATCATCATAAAATATGACGATGATAAAGTGAAAATGTTTAGCTATAAACTTTTGTAATTGCAATATTATTTATCAAACTTGACTCTCCATACAAAGTTGACAATGATATGGTTTGTACCAAATTTCGTGTATCACATTAGAATCTTTTTGTTTCAATGATGTCAAAGACGTCTATAATCCTCATACACAATGCGATCAAGTATGAGGAAACTACATGCAGATATATCAAACAAACAATAGTGGCTCAAGTATTGTGTGATCCATATCGTGACATATGTTGATGCGATCACTCTGTTAACATGGGTATAACACGTGAGACAATTACAATCTTTGTACAATGTTTCCACGTGAATCTTCACTTCATGAGAATTGATGACAATACAAACCTCATGTATCACACTTAGTCTAGGTAATTCCGTTAGGAGACTGGAACTATAGTCAACACAATTTTTTTTCATAGAGACACCTACTTCCACCAGCAAAAACAGAAAATGGTGACCTCCCACCCAAATGTATTCATGCATAGATATCAATTCAAGAGTTTCATAATATTCCAAGTTTATTCTCACAACATCAAGGAAAAAAAAGGAAAAAAATGCATGAAAATCGTCAATCCAAAAAGGGTAATAAACGCATTGATTTTTATATATGCAATTCTCCGTGATGCTCAACTCAATTTGGAATTAAAAAAGAAAGTGTATGGTAAAAAAATCTCCACTTTCAGCAAACTCATAAGTCAATAAACAAACAAATATTCTCCACTCTCCCTGCCCTGATGTGGACGATGTGGTTGTACATCCATATATATATATACGGAAAAAGTGGACACAAACGAACTATATTTAAAGTGATAGTGCACATATTAAATCAGGCAACAGTAGAAAGGAGACGACAAACGGGAGCAACCAGAGAGCACGTACGGACATGGCCTTGCTGCTGCTGCTGCTGCTGCTTATGGCATCAGGACATCAGCCAGAAAGGACTCGACCGCAGGCCATGGCAACGAACGAGTGCTGGCTGCTCTATGAGACCAGAGACCAGAGACCAGAGAGCATCATGGACCAAGTTTTGCAGACGGTTTTGTGTTAGCAGTGTACCCGAAAACACAATAATATACAACCAACCAAACACTCGTACCGACCATGTACTTCGTTGCCTCAGGCGAGCGATCTTATCCCAGCTTGGACATGGCTTTGCTGGTGGGCTGGGCTGGGCTGGGCTGGGCTGAGGTGGGGTACTACATGGTGACCACACTTCTCACACACGAGCAATGTGATTGTTCACTCCCCTCACTCTTGGACGCTTGCACATCTCTCAAGATATGGACAACGTGGAATTTCCAATCCCCCAGCAGCGCACAACCTGAAAGTCATAACTGCTTTGTTCTAGCCATTCAAGTGATAACAATGTTAAACAAACCAACGACCGATGTCACCATGGATGGTTTACGTTTTATTCTATTGACACCGAGGCCGGGAGACATGTTATTTATTTTTAGGAATGAAGTGAACACCGTGGTGGAAAAACTCAGTCTTAGGAAGAAAATTCAGCTGTATTACCGAACACTGAATCTGTAAAGTATAAGAGTGAAAGTAGTATGTTAGTGATGCTTAAGAGCGATTGATTAATTACGTAGACCATACCGAGTGTATGATCTGGATCCTAACTGGAGAGTTGCACAAATTAGAACAGACCCACCAAGGCTGGGGAGGGCAGGGAGTAGGGAAATCAGATATTGTGGCTGTTGAGGGCTGCTAAAAGTCCATAACGGCCGAGTCCGAATTAAGTGCTTGTCCCTATGGATCGATCTGCTTACGCAGATTAACCTTCTGTGGCACGAGAACAGAAGAAACAATTATTGGCTTTGCTATTTCACGTCATTTAGATTTAAGTTTAAAATTAACAATCTCTACCCACATGCCAAAGCCAAGAATTTAGTTGTCAAATTTCATATTTATTCATTTCGTGTTTGTTGTTGAATCTTGCTAGAAACAGTCTCAAACCAAGCTCACTTGCAAATTCCTTTGGAAAAGAATCAGAAAGGGCCACGGCCTCCATCGTTGGACTCTTACCCATTACTTTTATCTACTTAATTCCATGACATAAAACAGACGGAAATAAATGTAAGGTTTGCATATACAGCGGAAAATGAAAGCCGCGAAGCGATAGAAGACATAGAATGGGCAATGTGGACTTCTACATATTCCTTTTTAATCTTCTACCCAAGTGGACAGAGGGATTTATCCGAGCATTAAAGGGGCATGTTTTAGAAGCGCTATAGAGAAAGGAAGGGAAGAAAACCGGAACAGCAGGTCGAAACAAATAGAGGGTGAGCCATTAAATAAGTTCGTTAATTGTTAGGCGAAGGTGCCATTCAGGCCAACATGCAATTGCGAAGGACGCGAAGAAGATGCGAATCATCTCTAGCATTGGCAGGTATGTCCACGTGGCCCGGATGTTTTTATTGCAGATATTCCTGTTTTAGGGACTCGGGAATAAGAGATATCAGAGATGGGACAGTGTCTTGGTCGAGTGCGCTGCGAGTACCGGTGGTCGCCGGTCCGCGAGGGATAAACTGGGCGGGCGGGTGGGTGGTCCTCGGGTTCAGAAATGACCGGACGTCAGCGCTGAGGTCAGAAGCGGATCAGAGGAAGCCATTGGTGCCCGGTGCGGTTATGCGCTGCTGCTCCCCCTCCCCCTTCCCCTCCCCACTCTTGCTCGTGTGGGCCTCCTCATCTGCTCGGAGAAGGACCCGGACCGGAGGCCAGACCCGCCGACGACGACGACGACGAGGACCGGCGTGAAAAAGCGTCGGCCGACCGCAGGAAACTTCTGCCATGCCTTCCTGCGCCTTCGTCTCGTCGCGTCGTCGCGGGAGGGAGCGTAGCTGCCATGCTTTGTGTAGTTGTGCGGGGACTCGGGCGTGCCTGAGGTCGCGACGCGACGGCATGGTCCGCCCGAGCGAGCGAGACTCGCGGTCCGAGACCGCGACCACAAGTCGTATGCCTGGCAGCGCTGCGAGGTTCATTGAACGTGGTCTCGATCTCGATCTCGATCCCTGCCCACGCAGTTTCGTCGGGTCCAGCCTCCGATGACTCACGTTTTCCCTTCGACCTTGACTATCCTCTGGCGGTTTCCAGGCTGTGGCCACATGGAGGTCAACATGGAGCTTCCTCACTATGTGGCATCTTCTGTCCTCCGGTGTACGGCGAGCTGTGCTAGCGGACGCTAGTACGACAGTGCAGCCTTCAGCCCGTCTCCGCAATAGAGATGCTGCTTGGAATCTGTCGCATATTCTGTGATTCCTGGTGTTTTGAAGTGATATTCAATTTGCTGATAGTGCATAACTTTTGCTTTTCTCCTGTCGCTGCGCACGTCGTGTCAGTGGTGACTTCTCACGAGAAGACGGCGTTATTTATCAATATTCATTTTCGTTACTCTATGATAATGTCTGGAGAGCAGGACTATTCTGTCCATTTCGTTTCCTTCATTTATTTAATTGATTATAGAAAAATAAAATTATAATATTTGTTTTGATCCTCATGTGCCGTCCGTCAATGCGGGTCACAGAAAGTGATCTGCCACGTTTTGGAAACCACTAGATCGAGGCCAAACATTAGAGTTCCATTTTGCTCGTCACAGGCCAGGAAATACAATTGCTGGAGAACGGGTCCCGTTAAAGTTTCAATTTACACTGAAGGCAAAAACAGCTTCGCTAACTACATCAGCACAGCCGTAAATGCAGCACGATGAGAATCTATTCAGTGTTTAGCAGTTATCAGGGCGGGAGCGATATTCTGCTCAAGCAGGAGCATATCAAACAAAAAGGCGAATCACAGTTTCATTTATCCTGAATACAGCTGCATTCTACGTCATTTCACGATATTGCCTCGTTAATTTTGGCTGAAAAAGCCAGACTTATCATGGGTCAGTCAGGAACTTCAACGCAGGGGGCAGACGACAAGAAATGACGAATCGGTAGAGATCTTCGAGGAGATTCGGCCTTTACATTCAAAAAAGAAAAACTCAACAACTACAATTTATCTTTAGTAGATCAATGAGATACAGACCCATACGCGCGCCCGTAAAAGTTAATTCCACCGCGCTTCTAAAGCCATAAGATGTCAAAATGGGACATACAGAACTAAATGAACAAATCTCGTGTTTCGTGGAAACGTTTCCATGACACAGAAAGTGAAGCTATCACCAAACATTACTATCGTTGTCCTCACTCCCATCTACACACTGTCCAGCAATCACATTATTTGAAGCTGTGCGCTAACATCCTGCCGTCAGTGCCAAAGTCAAGCGAAAGCCAAGGTCCAACACGGTGAACATTTTCGTAGTGTGAAGAATCTCGAAAGAACTCAGATGTAAAAACCAGATACATGGCCGTTGAATTGAAGCGTCGTGTGGTAGATAACGTGGGGTCCAAGTTCCTCAACACTTTCGTTCATCAAAGTAAAATTCGATAATCTACAGGAAGACATCTTTCTCCAAGAGCTTCAAAACTTCCGACTGGTTGTTAAGCTTTGCTACGTCAATGGGCGTCTTACCGTCAAGATTTCTTAAAGTTCTGCACAGAAAGAAGATTGTACACGTGAGTTATTAGTAAGAATCTTTCCACTCACGTCAGCCTGTCTCGAAAGTTCACCCAAGCTAGACACGAAGCCCTCCAACTTCAGAACTTTGAGGCACCCACCTCACATTCATCCCACACACAAAGCTGTCTTATAGCGAGCATTCCATTGCCCAATGGACACGGTTTTCCTGCATAAGGTCCTACCAAAGGAGCTGCAAATGAAAATCATAGCCTCCAGCGGAGAATTGAAACTTACACAGCGGCTCCGTTTTTGAGCAAGATCTCAACACACTCCTTCCTTCCGTAACCAGCAGCGTAATGAAGGGCAGTATTGTTGTTCTTGTCAAGAGCATCCACAGCAGCTCCAGCTTCCAATAGCACCTCAGCACACTTGACCTGAACGATTTATAAAATAAGCATGGAATGATCAATAAAACCGAGTTTTTTCCAAAGAAATTCCGGAGAAGGCTTACAAACAAGATAGCAGCTGAAAGCACAAACCCTTGGCGCCAACTACTACCGTTATTCCAATTGGCACGAAATATCATGCTTCAGAGGTGGGTACAGTGGACGGACCTCTCCGTATCCACAGGCGAAATGTAACGCAGTACGGCCTTCTGGGTCCTTCTCATCCTTGTCGGCGCCATCTTGGAGAAGGGTTTTAAGGCCCTGCACATTAAAGATATTGAGAACAATATTGAGAAACTTCATAAAACAACGTGATAGATAGGGGCCACCTGGTCCTGCACTCAAGCGAGATCGGCAAATAGATTAACTCTCCTTTGAACACGATAACATAAGGACCACGTACAAGATTCTGACTCAACAACGGTAAAAACAAGTAAATCGAGATGCAGTAAGTACTAAGTTGCAATATGGTATGTAAAAGGCGAGACCAACGGGTAAAGCTATAGCCTTCAGCCCGATAGCTCGCTTAACTTTCGTACGTAAGAGAGAAGCGACGATTGTGTGTCAACTCTCTAGAAACGCATAAGGCATAAGGCATAACGCAGCGCAAATCCAGTCCCTAAACCCTAAACGAATATAAACTTGACTGAAAGATGACTGACACTTCGTCTGATACAGCTTGAGACTCACATATACAGTATCTAGGAAGCATCAGTTACCTCAGTATCTCCTGTGCTAGCGGTGAAATGGACAGTCAGATCCTCCTCTTCTTCCTCTTCTCCTTCTTCTTCTCCAGCTGAATCGCCGGCTACTGGGATTCCTCGATCCTCACCGGGTACTCCAACTCCTATGGCTCGGCCCAACCTACTTAGCACTACGGGATCATTCCAGTACCTGGACACAAAGTAAGCATGTCAATCTTTGGTACTCAGTTCCCAGATTTGACTTATCGTGAATTTTCTAACAGGTCCAATTGCACACTGAAGAAGCACATGCTCACGTGTCCAAGTATTCACGTGTGGGAAACAAAAAACAACTAAGAAAGTGCATCTCAAGGTCTACGTGCAAGACTCACTTCATCATAGCTGCAGGTCCTCCTGTCTCGATCTCTTCCAACACTGGCTTAAGAGCAGGATCTTCTCGAACTTGGGCCATTCTAGCTTCTAACTGCTCTTTGTGAGCGGGATTGGTAAGATTCTGTAACATGCCTGACATTGCTGGATCCTGCCATGAAATACAGCTCCTCATAAGGACTCCGTGTGGACCGCAATAGTCACTTTTGAGAAACAAGCAAGGAGGAGCCGAGTTGTCAACCATATTTTCGGCGACAAGAAAAGACGTGAGTAGGAGCCAAGTGAAGAAACAAAAAATCGAGGTAAGGCTTTGTGAAGTAGAGAACCTGCATGAGAGCATTCCCAAGACGTTCTGCCATTGTCATGAACTGAGGGTTCTGCATAACTTGTTGCATGGCGCTGATGTATTGATTTGTATCGAGGTGTGGGACTCCATCTTGCCCAACATTTTGTACGCTTTGCTGTAGCTGCTGCGCCATTTGGTTAAATGCAGGATCCTTGGCGATTTGCTCTGCCATCTCCTTAATACTAGGGTCCTGAACATCATGAGAGGTTGTACCCGCAATAAGTCGGAAGGAATCGGTAAAATAAGCCTTCTGTCAGTAACTTCTTGAACTGACAATCTCAACGCACGTATAGACACCGAACACGATCAGAAGTCTGTAAGGAAATATACATTGACTGGGTTCGCAATGAAAGAAAAGTGGCGAGAAGCCTCCATAGAATAATGGTAAGTGTAAAGTCTCAGCTTATCGTGTTATCAACTGGGGGAGCAATAATTATGGATCACTTCGCGATAACTAGACGGTATATAACATTTCCCCGACTCAAACTTCCTTACGCTAGGTAATAGGTGAAAATACGATGATAAAAAAATCAAAAACTCAAAATAAAGACTAAACAATTACTGATGTTCGCGTCAGCACATCATCGGCCTTCACTGTAACATAGATTAGGTCATCCGACTGGCCCTGTTGAATACGCCGGATCAACTTGAGATGCTCCACCTCTCTTTGTAAAATTGTGCTAACCAACGTGACATATGTTTAAGCTTTCGACAGCGGCATATTATCAGTCATCAAGCTTGCCCATATTTAGTACGAGGAACTGATCCGTGTTGATAGCAGGATAGGCTTTGTCTACGTGTAGGCTACAAAACCTCCAGAACCCTCCAGCCCTACTGACGCTCGGTGTCACTAGACAACAAGCTCTTGATGTAATACGTTGAAGAAAAGAGCCACGAGGTCAGGAAGTAGGATGAAGAGAAAGTGCGTCTGAATTTTTTTCTTTTTCACATACAGGCCAGCTTACATGAACCATCCAACTGAGCACCATCTAATTACGCATGATTGTTTCAAAACGCAAGGAAAGAGATCTTTACATTCAGAAGGCCGGTCATTGCTGAAAAATCGAAAGCGTTCGGCAATCCTGCGACTTCCTCCTCACTGGGAGAAGCGGATGCGTCTGCTCCTGATGCTTGGGCAGGGGCAGGAGCCTTCTGCTCCTCTGTGGCAGCAGCCTTAGTCTCATCTGCTTTAGCTGCATAAAAAAACGTGCTAGGGTGTAAATCTCAATGTCGGCGAGTGAATCAACCAAATACAAAAATAGACTTTGCATCGTCGTGAGATTTGATTTGACCGGGAAAACAATTCACTCAAGCAACGAACACGTGGACACAATCCACATCCAAACAGAAACTGGCAACATCATTTGTAGCAATCGGTTTCAATAAATCGCCCACAAGCTTAAAAGATCACCAAAAAAACAGCACTGTGGCGCGGGGTTTTGAACTTTTGGAGGGCGATTGTTACAAGGAGGTGAAAGCGCCATAAACTGCCACTGTTCTTAAGCATAGATTCCAACACTGTAAAAATTGTTGACCTCAAGCCTTCCAGAAGCGAAAACCACTTCAGCTCTTTGTTGAAAAAGAGGGACTTCTCCCCGGGGTTCAGGTAGTCCATGGTTCTCAGCGAGGCACCTTGAGGTACTCAAAGCAAGGACTTCACTGACCAAAATAAGCAGCGAACGTGACTTCGGCCAAGATTTTAAGAAGTAAAAGGAGAGAACTGTATGTAAATAACGCCCATGTTTCATAAATGTAAAACCATTGTCAGCCGTGAGAAATTCGGCTCTCGCATGATGAAGATTGGCAGCCACCGGAATTCGGCCAGTGTAAAGATTTCCAGTTGCTCTCACCAGCATCAAAAGCTGCTGTCTAGCTGCTTGTACACGATAAATCGCACTGTAGATATACACTGTTCTCATATGACTTTCCGCGAAGGTGTGCTAATAATAGTACAAAGATCATCTACGACAAATGCTAGGAATTCCAATGCAGGAGCTTCAGCAGAAGAAGCAAGCAATCTCAGGATGCTCTGACGTGAGACTGACCTCACAGCTGGCAAGTGCAAGCTTCGGTAGAACAGCGGGACGTAAACGCAGACGAAGACGCTTCGCAAGCGTCCCTAACTAGACGACTACCATAGTCAATGACTCAATCCTCCTTCGTGTCCCAAAAACCAAAGACACTGACAAGATCCACTCGCATCAACCTAGATTACAGAGCACACCGACAGAGCTTCCAAAATCTTGAATTCCCCCACTGGTTCTACCTCAATGTAAAACGGAAGCCCTAAAGTCCTCCTCACCTCGACTGGAGTAAAATCGACCGAAGCCCTGTCCTAAACGACGTAAATCTTCCATGGGCATCAAAAGTCGTGAAACAAGGAGTGCCCATCCAAACCTCAAACAAGCAGCAAGAAGAACCTAATTTCATTCAGCAAAAACCCGACCGCTTCGCGCATCCCCATCCGACACTCGCCACTCCATGGCCAAATCGAACCCACCGGCAAGCATGCAGGCAGCCATGGAATCAAAAGAGACTCGCGGATCTTCCCGGCAGGCATCGGGCATGAAGAACCTCACCTGGAGAAGAAGCCATCCTGCCTCGCCTGAAGTCGGCGGCAACTAGATCGGCGAACTCGAGCCCAGCAACGATGGAATCCTGTGGCGTTGCCCTGTAGGCAGTCTCGTCGTCTGATGAGTGAGCGGCAGGATTGAAGGAAGAACGAGGCACGAACGAACGAAAGACAGAACGAGCGAGCGAGCGAGCGAAAGAACGACGAGACGAGAAAGACGTCCAGTCGGGTCGGCTTGGCTACGTGCTCCCTTCGTCTTGCCACTGCTCCTGCCGCTGCTGCTGCTGCTCCTCGTCCTCTATGGCCCTCGAGGCTCGAAAACTCGCCCGAATGCGACAGAATCGATCCGAGTTGGAGGATTTCAGGATTAGCTTTCTTTTCCGCTTCTTGCTCCTCGCGCGCAAAGCCAAGCACTCCGAGAGAGAGAGCGAGAGAGAGAGTCGCAGGCAAAGAGACGCGAGACGGGAGCCAGCAGGCCTGGCAGAGCCCCCCAAAGCGAAGTCGCTCTAACTCTTGTACAGCAAAGCCCAAGCCCAAGCCCAAGCCCGGCCCGGCCCGGCCCGGCCTGGCCCGGGCGGCGAGCGCTCTAGCGCCAGGGGCAGGGGCAGGGGCAGGCGAGTGAGCCGCGGATAGATGGACGGACGATGGCAGACGGCTGGCACTGGCCAGCGGAAGAATCTGCAGCTGCTCTGCTCTCGCTGGAGGCAGCTAGAAGATGGGACGGACGGAGGGACGGATGACAGGATGGAAGAGAGTTCCGTGCGTTCGACTGAAACAGGACGAGGGCCGAAAGGGGCCTCTCTGCCATATCTTATCCCCTGCGAGGACCTGTTCTAACGGGTCGGCCCACTCGCGCCCGGCGGTTACGTCATCGCGTCACCCAATCTCCTCCCTTTTGCTTTCCCCCTCCCCTCCCCTCCCCCTTCCCCGTACCCAAACTCCTCTTCCTCCCCCCCTCCCCCCCCCACCTCGCCTCCCTACCTCGCCGTGCCTGTTCTGTGCCGCTTTTCGGTGCCGGTGGCCCCGAGCTCTCTCCCCCGACGGAGCCACCGGGGTCACCGGCGACTGTGCTTCCTTCCTTCCACCGGAAGAACTGCCGTCCACGCTAAACCCTCGCGGCTCGTCTCTTCCGCCCTCCTCTTCTGACACCGGATGGCAGAAGAAGCGGCATTTGTGAATTAATTTCGGATGCGAGAAGATATTCTTTTTGTCCTCGGCTCTTTTATCCGGCTTCTGGCCTTTTTGGTGACAAGGGGACGGGGGTGAAAATTAATCCGGGCTACGTTCGGGCGCATGTTCTGCGGACAGGATTCCGAGGTTTTATCTTCCTTCTGCAGCTGACCCCGACTAGCCCCTTAACCCAACCCTGAGGTTATATTGTCCTACTGGCGGCCACGTCCAGATGTTGGAGACGTATTAGATTAGTCTCCTGTGATGACGACTGAAAATTATTATGTACAGTACAGTGGTGGAATATTAATATCCCACGGAACACCCTTCATTGATTCTCGGACGAACCTTGATAGTTTCAATATTTATTCTCCTCGAACCCGTACGAATCTTTCGTATAATTGTGCAAATATCTCATCTCGTACTGCTCGGCAACCAGTTCATTATTAACAATTGAGAATTTTCAATTCCTTTGTCGAAATCTTGCACAGGATTAGTAAGCACATATCTAGAGTACAGCCATGGGTACCCAATACCCATGGGTAAATGGGTGCGTAAGGACTAGGACGCAGGAGGTATGAGAAAAGGAAGGAGGTATAAGGTATGATCGAACATTTGTTTAAAACGAATGAGTGAGATGATTTAATTCAGCTCTCGTCACGTGAGTAACTAATTTGCACACAATGTTGATTAGTTATTAGTTATTATAAATTTGTTGAATAATTTAATTTATATATTGAATAAAAAATATATTTAAATATATATTTTATGGATAATCAAATGAATGTCGCTTGTAGATCTAAATGGAGAAAAATAAAAAAATTATAATTACATTGTATTTTGGTGATAGGTATGGACAACGTGCCGGGGTTCGGTCAATTTTCAACTCTTAATAATTTCGTTTTTTTCTAACTAGTGCAAGTTTACGGTAACATGCCAAAAATTAGAGCTCCTGAAATTTAATACTCAGTATCGGATTATTATAAATTACGGCTTCTATAGAATCACCATTTCCAATCATTGACCATTCTCAAAATTATCAAACCTCACTACATGTTTTCCCACACATTAGATTTTGCAAAAAATCTTTTTATATAAAACAAATGCCAAAGTGAACAATCGAATCTTATTCTTTTTTATTCCTATAATGTTATTTTAGTGATTCTGTCATAAGTTTCCAAGACTCTCACCTTAGTAAAACTCCAATGTAATTTCTTTTTCCGCAACTCCTATACAGTAGGTACTTTCTATAATATGGATACATGTAATAGCCATGTATTAGCATTCCTCGAACTAGGAATGCATTTTTTTCTTGTCTATCAGGTACATGTTATAATAAAATCATTACTTAAGCCATCAAACTAATTTTGATACGAAAGGGCAAACATAAAAATGGCCAATATTTTTTTGAAAAATTCACTCCCTACAAAAATATTCGGAAACTGAAAGTAATCATAGTATTCGAAGATGTTGAAATCGCTCGTCACATCACTTAATAATACGCTTTTCAAATTTAGTGCTTATTAAAAAAGAATCAAAACACGTATTTAGTGTCAATGAAGTCACATTAAACTAAAAACCCAAGGACGACACCCTCCAAAATGCTTAGCTACTCATCACAGCCACATGTGAAGTTATATATATATATATATATACACACGAAATAAATTTCTCATATTAATTTGCCTTATAATTATTTTAATTTCAACCAATGGAAAACGAAATATTGTAAAATAAAACGGAAAAATATTATCATATACATTTGATTTGCATGCTGTCTTGAACCAAAGTTAGCATGAGCAAGGTCTGAGTTGCACGAAAGGCATGCATAATCTTCACAAAGTCTATCTCCTGAACTTAACCTTAAAATTACCTTGATGATGATAAGTACGCCTGGCAGGCTGATCTCGATCTTGCGCACACTCCAACATTTACCTTCTCCAAAGATGGCCAAGGGTAGGTTTATAAGGTGCTCATCATCATGATGAGCTGCTATAAATGGGAGTTGGGGGCTCAGGATTCTTGGGACTGAAGCGAAGTTTCTGTGGAGGCCACCGGTTCTGGACTTTACGTTACCCAGGCACTGCCCGGTAGCCGGTGACCAGAAGAGCCCATGGGAGACAAGATCAATTAATAAGCCCAATGACAGGGTTCCAAGTGGTTTCCACAAGTCCATCGACATGCCCAGCAGCTGCAGCTTATATTCGACCCCATCGAATCGACTGTCAAGAGGGGAGTGGCTTCATAAAGCACAAGGGTAGCACGAGTCCAAACGCAAATGATTACCGAAAGGAAGCACACGGGCCGACAGTTTTGCTGGTCAATGTTTCAAAGCTCCTGATGCTCAGTACGTATGGCACTGGCAGTGAACTCTGATTTTTTATTTTGATAGAAAGGGGAAGTACGTATGGCACTGGCAGTGATCTCTGATTTTTTATTTAGATAGAAAGGGGAGGTAAAGCTTGAAGACGTAGGGCTCTTGGCCTCATCCTCCTTATCCCACCTTTGGTTATTATGAGGGGAGGAAGGCAATGCTTAGTGACCTATTTCCACAGGCACATGGGTCGGTAAAATGCTGAATGTGGACTCTGGTTTGCAGGCCTTTATAATTTAGATGTGTTGGAGATGGGAGTTACGTAGAGAATGGGAACTGGGAGTGCAGCAGGCTGTAGCATAAAGAACAACTCGTTTGTACATTACATGCCAAACTGAAGTCTTGTCATGACACGTCCATCATCCTCAGATTCCTAAACATCGGTTGTGTGAACCCTTCAGAGCTATTTCAGCGTCAGCTGGACCAGATTTCACATGCAAGAGGTGTGAGTAGTGGCAGGTGTGTGGCAGGTTTCTTCAGCTGAAAGGCATGATGTCGAGCGTACTGAGACTTGCGCCGTGTCATTGACCGAGTCTTTCAGTGACTCTTATGATTCTTTTGTGCATCCAGCAGGTTGCAAACTGTGCGTCCACATTTATCAGCATTGCTGGTTTTTGCCCAGCTCTCATTGGTCATCATCTCCAAGGTCTTCTGACTTCTGTCTTCATGGTATGTCCATGAGACAACGAATTTCTTCTCTCCACAGTATTTGTTGACTGAGAGCCACAAACTGTTTGACCCGAAATTCTCATGTAAGCCTTTTTCAGCCTCTCATCCATTCGCGGTGTGTCGGTCATGCGGTCGTGCGATCATGCAGAAGGCGTACTGCGAGTTCAGAGGTCACAAGTGAATTGTTTGAGAGATCATTATCTAACAACCGAAAGAATTCAAGGTGACAGTATAAATTATGACATACCCTCATGGTTCAACTTGGCATACCTGTTAGATGCTTCTAACGAACTATCACAGAGAAAAATAATAATTTGAGATACAAACAGTATTCTCAAATGCTTCTGCAAACCTGCGATCTTGAACTGAAAACACTTCCCCTTATTCACAACATTTTTGAGCATCTGCCAATTTGTTGTCTTTTATATGAGGGTAATGTCGTCACCTTGCCTCTCAATTAGAACTAATTTCTTCTTATCTACTTTGTTATGATATAGACTCTGAATTTTCCATGCCAGATGAAAGACAAATCTCTCAAACTAGTTACGAACTGTCGGCAAGAGATCCACCATCACACGACTCCACACTGCTTCGTTCCAAAATGCAAAAGTGGAGATTCACACAAAAGAAAATCATCTCGTACTTTCACCATTTTCCGGATCTCATGTGATGCATGATGAAAATATACTCTTGGTGGCATGAAAAACACTGCCTTCGGTTACAAATCACAATCAGAGCATCCACTGGTCGAGTATCTTAGGCCGCTTCCTTGACCTGCAAACTCTACACTGATTTATCACTCATCGAAACCCTTAAAACTAAGTGCGTTCTAAGATCTAAGAGACTATCACTACTGTGAAGAACTGTACTCCAACCCGATCTATGCTCCAGGACAACTGAAACGGGGAGTAATTCCTGGAGGTTCCGCTGGAGTTGAATTTAGTCTGAACAAAACCTTGGGGTTGGAGCTGCATCCTAATATGCTGATGAAGTCCTCATTTCCAACGACGTGAAAAGCCCACGATGTTCCTGTCAGTTGTGGTTCTATGTCGAAACTGAGGAATGTGAACCATAACCCCGTAGATCATTTCTGGTTCATCATTCGAGAATACCGATGAATTTCGTGGCACACAATCAAGGCAGGTATGAGTACCTTTTCCATGGTTTACACGGTACCTATTACATAAAATATCAATCTGAAATTCTCTAAAAGGCTCGGTTCACTGGACCCCAATGCAGGACTGACAACATTCAGCTCAGTGCTTGCGTAATTTTTCACCTTAAACTAGTTAACACAGGTCTCAGACATACAGAATGTCTTTGTAATAAGCTCCGCTCAGGCATATGGGTCCATGGTATTGAGACTACGACAGGCAAAACAAATAAAGTTTGTTACAAGCCCCCAAAGCCACGGGTCCTAATTATCTACAGACGTCCTCACACCTAGGCGTAGACAAGCACATGTTGGTGCTTAATACGTTAAAGCTAGAGAGTGAACAACTCTCAAATATCTCTCCGGAATGAAGCAAGATCAAACATCTCATAATCTACACGTATATAGATCAACCTAATACAACACGCCTACGGATATCTATGAATAGTCACATCGAGTGGCATCCAGACCGCCTTGCAAAATGCAAACTGCTGTATGGTTTTACACATCAAAGTCCAGTATTTTCTAGTGAGAAGAATTTCCACTAAATTCCACTGGGGTGATAATTCGCACAGAGGTAGGTGCCAGGACAAAGTTACTCAGCATTTGCATTCAGTCCAAGATTTGTTTACCCATGTTGCAGTGCATGCCGTAGCTTCGACAGGAGCAAGCACAAGATCTGGTGGAAGGTGCTAGAAACTAAGGTGAACTGGAAACAACAAACACTCAGAAGGAGTGGCTATGAAGGAAGAGAGAGTAAGCAGACTAGTGAATAGGTGGACACACAAGTAAGTCGGCTTACAGTGCACGTTCAGGTTTCAGCTCAACAGACTTGACCCATCTATCAGTCAACCATTACAACGAAACCAGGTGTTTGAAGACGAGTTAACTACGAACGAAATAGAAGTCAACGAAGGTTTGAACTGACAAACCCCGGACGCACCCTTACGAACTCTACTCCCACCCGGAACTCTGGGAATTCATTATTCACTTGATATACCACATGACATAGTTGGCCAAAGGTACAGAGATTCCGATAGTCAATACAAACCACACCAAGAATGCATACAGAGTCTACAATCGCCTCTAAGAGGAGCTCATCTACCAAGAGTAAAATCCAGTACCATCTTTTCAAAGAAACTACCGCAACGACATTTCTGTGGAGATGGATTTAGATTGGCGAAAATAAACCCTACTATCCACCTTGTCAGTCCAGTGGGTTGTGGCTTCACATCCAAACATGAGCTCAATTTTTAAAATTGACTCATCAGGCGGAAATTTAATGAAAAGAAATAAGCCTCACGGTGCTCGGCTAACTCAGTCTCCAAAATATAATTGTCGACACAGTTCATGCTAAGGAATGAACGCCCAGCCTGATCATAATTCGGCTGTACAAGGGGTTCTTGGTTTCAGACTTAAATATGCATACGTATGGGTTCACATCTATATGCGATCTCTCTCATGCCAGTTCACGGAAACGACCTCATACAACAACATTTCCGTGCGAGTAATCCATGATGAAAGCTGGGTACAAACCACAACCAATAGGCCGGGAGCCACAATGTCACCTCCTTGCATTAAATATTGCATAAAGATGCAACACGTTAAAACTACCTAGATTCTGCCTCTGCTGACTGACCTACTTCCTGTGCTCTAAATTCTGTAAGCACAGCTGAAGATCAGTAACTAATACTTACTACTCAAAAAGTCCGATACTTTAAGCTCTTCCACAATGGTAAAGACTACTGTAGCCTCAAGGTCTGATACCTATGTAACTAAATCCCTGCTCACATTTGCCCTCCGACGAACAGAACATGCAGTCCTCACGAAGAAGCTTCGAACTCATCCTACAATTTTCTAAACTAGCCTCAAGTTGTTGTACTAAAAGCAATCTGATTTTCTCTATCCCTCCATCAATTCTAAAGTCCTCATGAGGAGGGTGTATCGACATACGCTGGGAACGGGGAGACCTGACTACTAGCACTGCTTCCACTGTTATAGCCTGTAGAACTGCTTCCATGCTGTCCACGAAAAGATAAAGGGGGGAAATCTTCTTCCTTGAGTTGATACGTCCTTTGCATCACTCTGAGAATCCACCCGAGACAGTCAGCCTCAGTTCAACATCATTGTCAAAAGATGTGATTGCCTATATCACGCCCAGTGGACGCCCAACCGGTTGAAAATGTCTCAATCACATTGACTAGAGAATTACTATCTCTGGTCTTTACTAGCACCCCATGCCAACACAATTATATAATGGGCCTTTCATAGACTTTTCCAACTTCAAATTTTGCATAAAAATAAAAAAGACCCGGCTTACTTTGAAAAAGTACGTTGCAACACAAGAATCACGCAGTTCTCTAGATGAGAAAATGAAAGGGCAACATAGGCTTACTACACTGGAGGAAAAAGAGCACCAATTTTGGGCAGCTTTGTAAGTATTCCACCATGAATGGTGAGCAAACTCTGCCCCAAGAGAGGACTGAGTCAGGATCAGGATACATATGGTCTCACCACCTTCTCGGATGTACTTGTATTAAATTTGAACCAAGGACGAGGAACAAACACCTAGTCACCTTATCTGGCGGGTTCTCAAAATGAAAACCCTGCGCAGAAACACGGCTGCCAATCTCCCATTGGGCACGAGGCGTGACCGACCTTTCTTAACCTAGAATTGGTCAATACCCTCTCTATACCCCGAGCAATCCCTGTCTCCCATCACCCCAACAAACCTTGAAACACCTTGCTCAACCTTCGAGTTCAACTTGACCTGATTCACTCCCCAAGATGTCTCCTGCTCATCACATTGAAAAGAGACCTGCCGAGCTTTAAGAAGGAGAGCACAAGGACAGACTACTGAACCTTCTGTGTAATCCATCGACTCCGACCGAAATTTCCTACGACAATGTCTTCAATCTACCTACCCCACAGCGAATATGTATTTCTCTCTAAATGAAGGTGTTGTACAAACGCGGTTTAAAGTCTGGGCAGGGTGTCCTAAGGTTGGAATCAGTAGGAGCTGCGCACTCGTAAAGGAAAGTGGCCTGAAGTGGGAAACTACACGTATTGTACACTAATACCAGTAATTGACAGAACAACGACCCAATCCTGTTCTGGTCATGTGAAAGGTGGGAAGAAATTCCAGATTTCTTCATCACTCTGGTCATTGACAGAAACCACTGAAACTTAGGAGCATCCGCAACAACTCGGGTGTAAAAAGAGAGTAAAAAATTACCTTTGCTTTGGGGAAGATGGTCCATGTGAACTCCTATCACCTGAAGCTAAAGACATGCTGGCAGACCCTGGTGGGATAGGAGCATGAGCAGCTCCATTGTCCATCTCATTCCCTCCCTGGGTTGTTCCAGCTTGAACTGGTCCAAGAGATCCAAATTCCAGTGGTTCGGTCACAGAACCCACTCTGTTTTCATATGGATAGACCATGACATGACCAGCTGGAGATATCGGTGCTCCCGCCATTCCAGAAGCTGATGACTTGCCATTGCTTGTCATGATTGGCACAGAATAAATTCCTGCTGGCATCCCAACAGATGTGGCTGGCAAAACTGTGACTGTGGACTGTCCTGGACTTGGTGAAGCAAGTGTGGCACTGGGGGCTGACTGTACTGAATTTCTTCGAAGGCCATCTTGCAGCCTCTGCCCATCCCTACCCCTCTCTCCACCCTTCACATCAACATTGTTCCTATCAACACCAACCATATTATTATTTTGAGAGCGAGGCTCATACTTGCTTTGTCCACGCCCCACTCCTCGATACCGTGGTGTGTGCCCTTGATGTCCTTCTCGGTCACCCTTGTCGTTGCGATCTTGAACGTAGCCTCCGTGTTGATTCCTGTTGCTCCCAGAGGACTGCCTGTCTCGATAAAAACTGGGTCTCTGCGAATTTATCAACATAGATTAGTAAAGGAGAAAGCGCTACCTGGTGAATGCAGCCATGGACAACACATTCTAAAAGTTTAGAACACAGTCCAGAACAAAGAACAGTGACGACGATTACCGGAGTCGGCAAGAAGGGGCCCGTTCCCCCATGGGGCTTAGGCTGCTCATCGCCTCCGTAAGCAACTGGACCCGTATATGAACGAGGATAGTTACCAACCATGCGTCCCGAGGAATTCATCGGGGGAGGTCCCTGGACAATACCATGGCCATGACTCATCACATTAGGGAGCATGTTCATCTGGGGAGCCAAAGGTCTTCCTGGACCTTCCCATTGACGAAAATTTGGATAATACTTCGTTGAGGGCGACTGGTAAGATGGCTGCGGGTAAGCTTGAACAGGTGCGTGTTGATACTGTCGTGCAAGATCAAGATTATACAAGTGATCTTGGAAGTCGCTCTTTAGAAGATCAAGCTTCGCATCCTTTGAATCACTCGCATCAGGTATTCGATTATCTGCCGTAGTCAGATCCATTTTGAAACTGGCACGGGTAGCAATCCCCTGCGCCTTTAGCTTATCCCCAACCCCGGCACCCTTCTGATGGCCACCTTTCAAGCGCAAGCTTTCGGCAGCTTGAGCTGCGTTACTTTCGTTGAAATTTTCCACAGAGCTGCCGAACTGAGAAAACCCACTTAAGAACTCTACACCCATGTGGTAATAAAAGGGATATGCAGTGTAAATAGACGGGAAGTAATTTCCTGGTGGATAGAACGGAGGTGGGTGAATAGATGCGGACTCCATTTGCCTTGGCCGCTGGGATGACCCAGAAGTAATCGATCCGCTAACAAGTTCAGTTACAGGTGGTCGAAATGAACTTGTACCGACGGGGTATATGACAGAACTTGAAGATATCTGGGGTTGACTTGGAGTAGGAAGTGCAGATAGTGCACCCGAGGTACGATGGGATGGCAACAATGGTGGAGGTGAGTATGGAGACATTTCTGCACTCATGCTCCCATTTCCCGAAAGGGGAAGAGATGACGGTAACAAATTTGGATAGACGACAGATGCTGGAGAATGCACCATCTGAGGACTTCCTTGTGTCACGGTGACTGGATCGTCCGAAGCAGGCCAGCGGACCACGCTCTCGGCGGTTGAACTTGGATTAGAAGAAACATCCACTGACTGCACAGATTCCACGCTTTCATCGTTACCATTGTTCTTGTTTTTCAGTAGGCCTCGTTTCTCCCTGCTGGACTTCGAATTTTTGTGCCCCTTGCCAATCCCTTCTGATACAGGATGGGTGAACTTTCCTCTTGTGGAAGAACTACTTCCAGTTTCTGCATCCTCCAGCCAAGACTTCCCGTTTTCCTCAACTGGAGCATCATCCAAAACCTCGTGCGCAGCAGTTGAGTCGGATGATGATTCCAAGTTGTTACTACTTCCAGATTTGCTGACACTTGCTGGGGTCTGGACACGTGATACCGTCGTATTCACAGAGGAGTCAGAGTCCGTATGTTGGGACAACGATGAGGCAGATGCAGCACCATTGGACACTGGAAGATGAACACCGTATTGCTGTTGATGATCATGGACCGGAATTTGTTCCACCTGCTGCCATGCGTCCCGATGTTGCTGTTCCATGAATTTGTCGTCTACATGCTGCGCTGGATAAGCTGATATCCTGCTATTAACTGTGTTCGAATTTTCTCCAGATGCCTGAGGGAAAGAAGGGCCATGGTAATAACTAGGGGGCAATGGTGGTGCTGGGGGACCACGGGGAATGTTGAAATAAGGACCTCGGTGACCTAGTCCTAAAGATGAGTCACCTACATGAACAGAATGCATGGTTAAAGGAGGAGGGGGAGGGGGGGCGGAAAGAGTCATAGACGGATGTCCAATTGTTGAAGACATGGACATTGAGGTGGCAAGGTGCATCGGCATTTGACCAGAGTGTAGAGAAGAAATTTGTACAAAGGGGGAAAGAAGAGGTATAGTTAGAGGTATTGGCTGTCCTCTACTATTTGAATCCTGCACTCTATGTTGAGTATGTCCCTGACCGTCTATACCTACTCCAGTCTCTCTGTAAACTGTCTGCTCACCTGCCCAACCTCCGCGACGAGAGTCTCTTTCTAAACCTGGATTTGCGCTCCCTCTTGAAGGTGCTGTTCCCTCAGAGGAATCTTCAGCTGCGATATGTACGTTAACTCGTGCAGACTCCACACCTGTCGCTTGAGAAATTGCCGTTGAACCAACATGATTGTTTCCTACACTCGATCCAGGATGCTTACTTCTATTGCCCCCTGGGACCGTACCTTTGGATGGATAATCTTCGCTATTGGACTTTGAATCTCCTAGCTCACTGCCGTGGAAGTCATTAGAAGCCAGGTCCCTTGCGTCACCCCACTGTCTGCTTCCATTCACTCCATGATCAGACATATCCGCAATGGGTAAATCTAAACTAGTTCTTCGACTATGCCCTTTCGGCTTTTCAAAGACTTCGATTCTAGCCTGGGATCCCTTACCACCCACGTAATTGGCATGAGATGACTCGAAGGCAGTCGAACTGCCATTGCTAAGGGCTACAGAAACCCCGTTGTCGTGAGGTGTATCAGGAGATGCACCTTTGCCAAAGTTTGAATCGCCTCCCCTATGTGGCATAGCAGAGGACTCTATTTGTACCTGATTTCCAACCATCTGCGCTGCCGCACGAGTAATTGTCTGCGTCCTTGGGTCAAAGTCAGAACACCATCCTGGAGGCTTGTGATGAAACCTTGGGTCCACATAGTATGTCTCAGCTCCGTAGGTGCGAATAGAGTCTCCATTTTCCTGCGACTTCATAGCTGTTGGCCCGTATCCATTTCGATGATTAGATCCGGCAGCGATTAGATTTTGCCGTGGTACAAAATCAGGAGCATCGGGGCGCTTTTCTTCAAGCTTATCAAGTCTCTTTTTGATCCTTTTAAAAAAGCCCTTGCGTTTGTCCTCAAGTTGTTCAACAATGTCCTTGCTCGAATCAAGCAAAATTTTGAGCAGTTCATCTGCACTGTGGCTAAAAAGTCCTATTATGCGGTTGAAGTTTGCTGCAGTCACGAACACCTTGTCAGCATATTCACAACACATTTGAAGTTCTGTACTGAGCTGCTATGTGCGACACAATGTTGACAAACTGTAAATGGATACGATTAATCTCAGCAAAAGACAGTGTTAACATACCTTGATTCACACTGCGCCCGAGGTTGTTACCAGGACGTAGTGGATCCACTACGTTTAAATGCTTAGCATTGAAAGTCCGTTGCTGGTTGTCTTGTCCAGCCGGAAACACAGCATATTGTTCACCACACCCCTTCAAAAATGCTTGGGAGAGTAAAAGCTCCCCTCCATCCTTCCTCGGCGACTCAGCTGTATAGATGACACTCAAAATAAAGGATAATTACTGAATACATCAGTATTGACGACGTTCGTTGAAAGTGACACTAGGCCTCAAACAACACAACCTCCTTTTAGACAATTACAACTGCTATAGATAGTTACAAGAAGCAAAATCTCAAGCGTTATAATCTGGTATCATTTCAGACACCCGCCATGGCATTACGAGGAATTTGACCTGGTTAATAGGGAGTCATTAGTTATATCACAATTGGCCATTCGGACACCAATAAAGATCAGACGAGAAGTTTGAAAAAGTTTTGCAACCAACAACGTCTTACCGGCCATCTCGGGTAAAGACGATATAGGAACGGGTCCCCACAAACTGACACAGTACTTATGCCAATCAAACTTGCTGAAAAACTCCAAAAATCTGAGAAGAACCTGTACAGTTCACAGAGCCAACAAACCTTGTGCAGGTAAGCACTGCAGTCTAAAAAACGTGAAACACTTGCGAATGCGAGAAATAATCAACGGTTGTAGTTTTAAGGAGCAGATCTCTTCTTTTTGTCTCTTCCTTCCGAAGAATCCTTCGTCATTCTTTAAGAAATTACTATTGATACGGTTTTTTTAAAAGGTTCACATTCAAAGCCGACACAATGTTTCTATATACAATGTCACTCTATTCACCTGATAGTCGTTTCAATATACATTGAAAGGACGTATTTCTATTATTTCTATTATTCAAGCTGCAAAAAAAAAATTTATGTCTCGGACGTATTTCTATTATTTCTATTATTCAAGCTGCAAAAAAACAATTATGTCTCGGATAAAATGAAGCTGAAGTGACTACTTAGACTGGGCATACATAAGAATCACAAACGCCAAGCATACAAAGTCTGCAAAACATAGCAGCCAGTGGTGAGAAAGTTCATTGTTGTGTGTAATCCATTCTTCACAAATGGGTCAACTCCGCAGGGTTAATTTATATACTCAGGTTAGCTACAACCATGATGGTGATGCTGGTGGTGAAGAGAAAGAAGTGTTGTTCCCAAAAGTACCTCCAAAGGTCCACGTATAGACTTGCCAAAGACATGGAAAATGTACAGAACCAGTGTCTCCAGTGCATAGGTCGAAATGAGGCCATGATGAGCACCCAAAATTTGGCTTTCATAGTAACACCACGCCTTAACAAGGATAATGCTCCGCTTGAAAAAATGATTGTCAGCAATCACTGCATCTACCTGAGCATGAAAGCCAAATTCCAACTCAGGAAACACCCCAACTTTGCGATCTTGTACCAGCATATAACGTGACGAGCGTTCTACAATATGAAAGCGTTGCTTAACCAGGGTGCAGGATCTATACGGTCTTCAGACGATGAAAAGGCTTATCCTAATGAATAAAATTACACTAATGTAGTGACAGCAAGTATCCAAATACAGAATTCCAGCGAGTGGCAGTAAAACCCAAAAGCCATGAATTTCAGTCATTCTCACCTCATCAAGGAAGCAGAGAGTGCACAACCCACCAAGCTGATTGAAAGATATATCGACAACGATATTCCCAACATGGCACTTGATAAGTTTGACCTGCAGAGCAAAGAAATCCGCAGCGAGTGTGAGATAAAATGATTGAATTTGTTACCCAGTACTCAAGAGAAGTTTCTTGTCATACTCTGAACAATTTAAAAAGATAATTTACGGCGAGAACTAGTTGGAAAACTTTTAATCAATCTACCTGAATATAGTTGAATAACTGTTACGCTATTGACGGAGAATGAGTTATAGTTGAGCAGTAGGACAAACTGACCTCTGCATGAATGTATTGGACATCTTTAACTCGGAATTCGGCATCATCTGATCGTTCTAACGCAAGACGAACGGCAGTGGCCCAAGAATCCTTCTTGGATTGATCTTTGCTAACGATGGTCAGATCAATATCACCATGAGGAAGGTACGTTAGTAGGGGAACTGATCCGAACATAAATACCTGCAAAACCAAAACTATATGAGTCAAATACATACATGAAAACATACAATATCGGTTCTCTCTTCGATTTTCTCCGACAGCTGAATTCAGGTCAATAAAACTATCCAGACGACATCAAGTGCACATTTCGGCTTCACGTTGCCCTCGTGTAGACAAAACATACACAATGAACTTGACAACACATCAAGATCTCACAAACCAGATGGAGTTTATCGGCAGGAATTCTTGACACAGGCAACATCTGCACAACTAACTCATGCTTAAGAAGCACACCTTGCAATCAAAGCAGCTGCAGATGAGGCCCCTAACAAAATCTGCGACGGCCTTCCTGCGTTCCTCTGACGCACGCGTGGGCTGAATCTTATCAATAATCTCTGCAGTTCGGAGCTCTGCCTTGGTCCACCGCTCTTTGTCAACAGATAAAGATTTTGCAAACGACGCCGCATACGCGTCAATTTGATCAGGCACTAGGCCACTAGGCAATTGCTCGCCTTCGGAGTCGTCCATGCAAACCACTGCCCCGCAGGCACTCTCCACAGCTGTCTCTGCTATGTGGCATACGCTTCTGTGCGAAGCTATGTCTCCAAGGCCATTCAAATCAGAGAGCAACCAGCCAGAAAAAAATCATGAAGGCTGTTAGCCGGCTCAACTCTCCTAACATAACCACCACCAACATTTCCAAACGTGTGCCCACAAAATTGCCCTATCGTCATTCAAGGGCCAATATTGGACATCTACTTAATTACGTCCAAATCCTTGTGAGCTGACATGCAGTCTCTGGCAAGCGATCCAGAATCTTACAAATCATTGACTTTCTCAAATCATCGGCGGCATGTGATCACTCTGGAGAGGGGTTTGATCCGGAAAAAGGTGGTCACCACATGAAACCATCAGACTACTGCATCAGCTGCACCATGACTTGGAAGTACGGAAGTTCCCGATCGTGAATCAACGCGGGGCACTCTGGTACAAATTGTATCCGGCCAGTTGAAGGAGTATATGAGTATAGGGTTTAAGGCCTAGATGGATAATCATACACACATGTGCTCATCATGTGGCAGCCACATTGTCAGCCCTAGGTATCAGGTAATCACCACAAGGATTGAAGCTGACTGCCACCTTTAAAATTTCCTGCATCTGCGTGGAGAATTTGCGAATCCAGGACACGCTGCAACCATTTAAATTTCGTACTTCGTGCGGGAGAAGATTCAATGGAACATCACAACGATGTCTCGGCTGTTCTAAGACACGAATGCTGCCCGATCGTGCTCGATACAGCAGATGAGCATATCAGCAAATTTTGAAACACATGAAGACGAGAGCGATGGCACTCGATCAGAGCTTTCGATTGACAACTGCAAAACTTTTGTAGGCGAAAGCCTACTGCCAGCACGTTCACTAACGGGGCGATCTCAAAACCAAATCCTTCAATTGCTTGAGTTACAGTAAAGGTCCGTAGCAAATGAGTGCTGAGATGAACATCCAGTACGAATTCCGTTACCCGCCGACACTGAACCGATGACCTCCCGTTCCAAATTGTAAATGTATCCAATCAAAATCCAATCCACGCAATTACATGCCCTGGAGCAACGCCGCCTTCACGGATTGACACTTCACTCGGCCTAGTACAAAATTGAGCACACTCTTCGATTCTGCCACAAATTCAGCTCAATCGTACCACCATCGGCCAGCTTGGGCTCACTCGCTTTCTACTGAGGCACCAGATATCATCTGTCACGAACAACAGAGAGTTCGTCACCGCGAAGCACAGGGATGGCCAAATTGATCCCGGAAACGCTTCTCCCTGGGACGCGTCTCCAACGCACTTCCCGGAGACGCGTGAACTGATCCAGTTCAGTACAAAGATGCGACGATCAACACTAAATACTCAGCAGCGGCGGCGGCGGCAGCAGCAGCAGGGGACACCGGTGATCGCACCATCAATCAATCCGCCCGGCGCTGCACCAGAACCCACAAACTCTCTCGCGGAATTGGATTCAAGAATGGCAAGCAAGCCCGACCACCCGCACCATCATCTCCCTCCCCCGCCACACGCGCACACACGAATCACCACAGACGATTACACCACGATCGCAACCGCCGGCGCGGAAGCTCAAGCGCGACGAGCGACGAGCGACGAGCCAGCGACGCCCACCTTCTCCCTCTTCCTGGGAACTCCCTCCCTCCCCTCCCCGTATCGTATCGTATCGACCCGACGAGGACGAGACGAGGCGCCACTAAAATGCGATATGAGCCCGTCGGGTCGAGAAAGCGACGACGCTCGATTCAGCCCAGAGTGTACACCCACACTCCGACAGACAGACAGACACACAGACACACACAGAGAACGAGAGGAAGAGAGAGAGAGAGAGAGAGAGACGGGGACAGGGAAAGGCAGAGAAGAGAAGGAGAGGAGAGGAGAGGAGAGGAGAGGCCAGGCCAGGGCCCGAGACGAGGCGAGGAGAGGGCAGGGGCAGGGGCAGGGCAGGCGAGCAGGGGACGAGAGAGGAGGGAGGCCTGGCACGGGGTCGGGGTAAAAGGGAAGAAGAAGAAGCAGAAGAAGAAGGAAGAGAAGAAAGGGCGGGGGCGAGCCCAGGCGCCCTACCACATACTGCCAAGCGGAAGCCAGGCGTAGGGGTCCCGTCACGCGGGCCCGAGGCGAGGACGCAACGACGTAGGCAGAGAAACTACGCCTGGGCAGAAAACGTCAAATGCCCACAGGGGCCCCGGCCCGGCCGCCCCGGCCACCAGCGAGTCACCCCTTCCCGTCACTCGGGTGCCATGGCGCAACAGGCCCCGTCCCCGTCCCCGCTCCTCGTCTACTATCGAGCCGAACAGTGGCCCGCCCCCGCTGCCCCGTCCGATCGCGCCATCCACGGCCCGGCCCCTGCCTCGCAGGACTGTTCTAACGTGCGCCAACTTCGTAGCCTGCTCGCCGCCGTCCGACGCGCATCCGACGGTTCCCGCGGACCTCGTACCTCCGCGAGATGCGCTCCTCGCGCGTTGTCAAGGATATCGCGGTCCTAGCGTCGTCCCGCCTCGCCACCGGACTCGCCGGGCCTGCCTTCTCCGGCTTCCCGTTTCCGACCCGCCTGGCTCCCTCCTCGGTGTCCCTCCGTCCGCCACCGGCCTCCGCAGTCCCGCCGTCAAGCGCTCCCGCAGGCGCAGCGCCTTTCCGCCGGTGAATCCTCTCGACAGCCGGTCGCGGGCCCTCGCTCCCCGGAGCTGGAATTCCCGGCCCCGGTATCCCCTGGCGTCGGCCGGAGGATATCCGGTACCCTGGGATTTCACACAGGCACTTCTGTTCGCGAGCCGTTAGCCATCGGTTACGAACGGAGATTTCATCGTACGATGGTTGCGATCCGTCGGCTTACTCGGTTTGCGGAGTACCGCGTGAGTCGCCACGGAGATGAAGAGAGGGCGTTTACCACGTCCTGAAGAACTCGAGCCCCCACCCCGGCCCCGTCTCCGTCCAAGAGGTGCCCGCCCCGGATTTGACAATAGGTGTCGGATCTCCGCAACATCCCGGTCCAAGTCAATGCTCACTGCAGTACAATTTTGTTGGGATGGGGGCGGACAGAAAAGATTATCTCATCGAACAAGTGACAAACTTTGTCACCGAGTGCTTGAAATCAGATCTGCATCGACGTGATCGGCCGCTTCTTTTCCCCATCCCCGTGTGTAGAATACGTGAGCTAATTTGGCCGACTACCGGCATCATGAGACATAAAATAAATTCTTCTCGCGCATGAATGCGGGAATTATTGCTGCAGATAACGAAAGAAATGCACATCGTGATGGCGTCTTCACTTTCCAGGACGTGTTTTGCCACATTTAACCGGCCCGTCGAGTTTTCCAGTGCGCACTGGAAGACACTTGTTTCCTCCGTACTTTATCTGGTTCCTCACCTGCGTCGCTTTTCTTTTATCCCACTTTTATCACATGCATTACGTGAATGCTCGACGATGAATGACCCTACCCGACCCCCGGATATTGACCTAAGCTACGACGGCAGAACTCGTAATGCGCAGTGATCAGGCTTTGCAATGTCGTGTGCGTGCCCCGCAATTACTCGTCGAGTATTGCGTTCTTTTCTTCCCCGCAGATCTCCCCAGAATAACATGGATCAAGAATGAAGGATTGAGAGACAGTTCAAACTCGAAGTCAGGAGCAGGATTGGAATCCTACCATTTCAGGTTCAAATCCCAGAAATTCACAAAAATTTCTTGATAATATTATTGCCTGAAAATTGAACTCGAAGGAATTTGCGCAAACAAGAGTATTTATTTGACTCTGCTCCGGAGAAATGGAGAAATGTACATCTCATCTCTCTTCACACAAATAACACAACGCAATGTCCGAGCAGAGAGTTGAGAATGATTTGAACGACGAAAGCCAGATATGGAATAGCAAAATAGGAAAACGGCATCGTCTGCACACATGCTTGCATGTTATGACTTTAATAATAAAACAAAAGCAGGCACGAGGCCAATCCTGAAGTGACATGACTCACGGAGTCAACTCGTGCGCGAGAAATCAACACTTGCGTGTGAAGGAAATCCACCCGACAAAGCTTTTAATTCTTTGAAAATAAACCACCATAAAGTAGGTATTCAAGTCAAATAAGTATACATGTAGGCCTATTTGGAACTGCTTCGACCAAGATCCAACTGACCGACGAATTTCTAGACGTATTTTATTAGTTCTACTATATTGGCAATAACGTCCGTGCTCTCACTCATACTCAGAGTTACACTCACTCCCATGTCCAAAAGAATATCTTCTCTCGTCAAACGTTGTTGACGAGTTGTAGTATTTCAACACTACAGGTAGGTTTCTTCTAGCTTATCTTCTCTGGACATGGATACGAATGTCAACGTCGTACGTCGATATTCGGATGATGGAACAAATTGCAAACCCTGTAGCATTTAGCGAAATTCACCAGGGAAGGCATGAACGAACCACATCTGCCCTCATCCACAACGAACACTCACACCGATTTGAACTCGAGCCAACAACCAGGCTGTGCATCTAACACATAACATGATTAGCATTAATAAACCGAGAACTCACCAAAATGACAAAAGGTTTTGGAAAACAGCTTCATTGCAGTGCAGAAGAGCAAAATCATCAAAGAAAATGGAGAAATTACCATAAACTCTTGCTGAAGAATATCACCGAAAATTACGGGAAATTTTCACGGCGAAAGGGACTGCATTCTGCGAGGTTAAAGGACAACAGAGAAGGACAAACTCGTCAACGAAAGGTCTCCAGATCACATCTATCCGCAGACCTACCTGGTAGGGCTCTGGATTTCATGGCAACCTACCGTAGTAGTGCCACGGTGGTGCTAGCAGCCTTCGGGGCGAGGCGTTCTTAACAAGCTTCTCCTACAAGTTACAAGGGACAGGGCGGTGTACGCGGAAAAGATAAGCTTCAACTACAAGCTACCGTCCTTTCTGCTATTATACCAGTTATCACCGGTGGAGATTACATGCTACAAGCAACCGTGATCTGGTATTTGGCCTGTAGATAAATTAGGTGTTAAGAATTACTACTGTGACAACATTTTGCTTTCCGAATGAAAGAGAAAAAGATGGATCGATGACCCGCAGGTATGGAGGTTGAGGTGACTCCTGAAGATCGAACACGGGCAAGAGCTGGAGATAGCTGCCATGTACAAGAAACTGCAACGCTGTAGCAAATATTCGAAGATCAGGAAGTACTGTGATAGCTTTGTTTCATTACAGAAACCGCTCTAATAATCGTAGTTAGAGCGGGTTCCTTATCAGATTGGACCGGGTTAATTAGGGTACATGACTATCCACCTTAATTTGGTCAGAGTGAAAGGATTCCAAACTTTGTACCAGGTTATATATAAGTTGCTAAGCTTGCTCTCAAGTTAGATTAACAGTTGAAAATCTAATGGCACTGCTCACGCCATTGGGAATAATTTCAATTAGTTGTGCCTTGATAGTGCCTTAACACTGTAATTAGCGTTTGTGACAGCATCACCTAATTCGGAAACAAATTCCACCGTTTGTTTCCAGTGTGAGTCAGACCAAATTCCGTTCAAGGTCATGGGATTCGTGTCCTCATTGCAAAAGTTAATATTGCAACGTGCCAGCTCAATAAGATCACGCATGTTTATGGAGCTCATGTTCAATGACATTTGGTGTCTGAAGGATGCATATGTGCACTAAATGACTGAAATTTCCCTGTATTTTTTCAATTATTTTATTCTCCTTACTGAGGACAAATGTCTTGATGGCTTGCGCATGTGTTCTCATCAAACCTTCGTCTAAGCAACATTAGCATGGGGTATGTCGTCAAATGTGAGATTAAGAAGCAAAGTCGTAAAACTTTGATTTTGAAAGTGATCATGACAGTCCAGAATGTCTCCAGTTAAATGGATATCGATTTAAATCTTCGTTAATAGAACCGAACAGGTGATCTCTGTAGAAACAAGTAATTTATACATGTTGGAGTGCAAGTATCAATTGTTCATCATAAAATCTTGTTTGAAATTATGATTTTCAATAAAATCCTGAATATAGTAATAATTTTAATAATCTTTTGAAGGGAAAAAAAATTAAATACGAAACGAGGTAAATTTTACCCTGTCCGTGCAAGTATGTGACCAACATCCATGAGGCGAACAGTCTGTACTCCAAACATGAAGTGTCGGCCATTCAGAAATCTCTGAATGGCCGACTTACTTTCATGCCGCGTTTAAGATCTCCAAAGTCTGCATATACACTTGTATTATCTTGGAAGAGACGCTGAATAGAAAGCTTTTGTTGGCCCATCATCTAGATTCCATACCTACACTCTACAATGAAGTCTAGCGGAAGATTCAAGGCCAATTAGTGGGCATGCTTCATTTATTCAAATTCGTACACCATTTTCCAAGCGATGCAAGAGACAAACATGATTCCTTCGTTTGCCACTCGACTCAGTACAGTACTTGGGATATTCCCTATATCACCTTCTGTCCGTAGCATTGATAACATACTTTCTCAATAACGATCCAAAGCAGGAAGGCTATGATTAAACACAAAAGATCTATGATCGAGTAGATCAAATGATCGTCGTAGTATACATCATATTCAGAACCAATTGGTCATCAGCAGTTTTCCACAGGTATGATAAAACCTACAGACAAAGTCATGTGACCTCGGGACCTGACATGATGAATATCTATAACTTGGAATAAAAATATTGATACGCGAGAGACAAAATAATATGTAACGTACCTCAGCACATGTTTCAAT